AAAAAAAGTATCGTACGTGGTAAAAGTTGGGCTTAAGTCTTGAAATGTTTGTCAGTGATATATCCGCTTGTGGACTGGATAGGGACCTCAAATAGACTTATTATGGGTCAACGTCAGAAGGTTTGTTAAGAGTAAGTCCTGGGTGAAGGCTTTTTATTGCCTTCATAGAATCCAGTCGATGGACATATCTTATTATATGCATCAATTCAAACACCGGTTAAATGAACTCACTGTAGAACGGCCCCTTGGCAGGGCCAAACGTCGGCTCAGGGTGAGCGCGCGCAGCTTTGGCCTCCAACAAAAGGCTCGCTTGACTAGGGACGATGCGTGCACCCACAGTGGGCTCTGAGGTAAGGCGGTTGGGGTTCAGTAGCCCGGCACCGGCAACGCGACAGTTCCTTGGCCAGGAGCTGAAGGGGTTGGGCTGTGTGGGTGGGGGCTGGGTGGGGAGCCCGAGGCTACACTCACCCACTGTTCCCCCCCAGGCGGTGCTTACGCGGCGGAGCCGGAGGAAAACAAGCGAACGCGCACCGCCTACACGCGCGCGCAGCTGCTGGAGCTGGAGAAGGAGTTCCTATTCAACAAATATATCTCGCGGCCGCGCCGGGTGGAGTTGGCGGTAATGCTGAACTTGACCGAGAGACACATCAAGATCTGGTTCCAAAACCGCCGCATGAAGTGGAAAAAGGAGGAAGACAAGAAGCGCGGCAGCGGGACTGCGACCGCGGGTGGCGGGGGCGCGGAGCCTGAGCAGGACTGCGCTGTGACCTCGGGCGAGGAGCTTCTGGCGCTGCCACCTCCGCCACCTCCCGGGGGAGCGGTGCCACCCGCTGCCCCTTCTGTCGCCCGAGAGGGACGCCTGCCGCCCGGTCTTAGCGCATCGCCGCAGCCCTCCAGCGTCGCGCCTCGGCGGCCGCAGGAACCCCGGTGAGAGGCTAGGGCTGCTCCCTACCCGGCGGCTTCGACCACTCGCAGAACAGGGGGGAGGGGAGCGGGCCTAGGATCCCGCGAGTGGATAGGGACCCTGGTAGTTGGATGGGGTGGGAACCGTGGGGCCCACCCTAAACCGGAGTGGAGAACCTGTACTTCCAGGCTCGGGTGCCGGAGAGGGCGCCGCAGGGAAGATGCTGACACACCTCCTGGAAGAAGACACCTTAGTTTTTGTAATATTTGGGACCTCTGTCTATTGATGTGATGTGATTGACGGTTTGCGCGACTGCTGCGCACATTCCCTCCGCGCCTCCAGCGCTCCTTCCTAGGACCTATTTAGAGAAGCCGACTGGAAACACTGGAAAGAGTACAAATTGGAACGCTCCGCAACATACAGCAGGCAAGCTTGACTGGGTGCCTTAATCTGTCCAGAAACAAAGCCAGTCTTACTCCGACGACCGCTTTACTTTTAGAAATAAAAGGAAACGTTTGAGGTTTCAAAGATCCAGTGATATTGTTGTCTATGACATAGAATGAGTCCTCTTTCTCCCTCCTTCTCCTCAAGCCAAATACCTCCTTGGCATATATCCTTCACCCCTTTCCTCTGAAGAAGAGAAAATTCTTTCAAGTCTATCTGGGCTGCTGCAGGGTTGAAGCGAAAGTACAGTGCAAGCAGAGTACCTGGGAGCCCCAGTTGGTCCTACGCAGCTGGGACACCCGCGTTGATGACCTCGAGTGGTAAGGGAAAAGAAAGATGGATCCTTGAGAGACCGACCTCTAAACGAAATATATTTGGAGTTTGCTATTTAAGATGTGAATTTAGTTCCTGATCTTAGGGCAGGCAAGCAGGGTGACCTGGTGCACCTTGTAAACAAAACTACTATTCACAGAGTCAGTATGATTTCATATCTTTAGAAATCATGAAAATGTAGGTGACTGGAGTGTTTGAAAAACTGGTTCTTTTATTTAAAGTTTTAACATTTCCTAGGGTTTTTTTTTTTGGTTTGTTTTTACAAACAGTTCTGTAGTTTCCAGCTCAATTCCTCCTTTCAAAATCTGGGTTTTGTGTTCAGGCTGTTTGTGGAAACTGCTTAATAAATATGGATAATACGAGAAGAAATGAAAGTCGATTCTCTCCTTGCTTTGTTTCAACCCTTTCCTACAGGATGATGATTCCAATTCATTTTGTTGTTGTTAGATTTTTTTTTTCCTGAACTAACCAGGGAAAAGCAGATAACGAAGAAACATCACACGTGGGTTTTGAGTTGGAGCAGCATATGGGTGGTGGATTTCCTTTTCTGTTCTAAGAGTCCTGTTCTTGATATGGCTTTGGCCGGCAACAGAGCCGGGGCATCCAGAGTTGGGATTGCCAGTGGCTAACACTGAATGCGGTCAGAACCAAAAGCAGCACACTGAAGGCAGGAATCTCGCTGCTGCCTTGGACCTTCACCGACCTCTTCTTTCCCCTTTACGCACAAGCTACCCGATGGGCTGATAGGCGAGGCTTTTTTCCATGACTCCTTCAAACAAAGTGTTACTTTGGATAAGTCTCTACCCCCAGAAACCCAATGGGAGGAAAGTCTATAAAAGGCAACAATGCCCTGATTTGGTGGGCCTCTAACCCCTAGCGCCACCCTGTTTCTCCGCAGCTCTCCAAGGGCGTTTTATCCCTGCGATGCGGAGAACGCGCCTGCGCCTCCGGAACGCTCCCACAGTTCCCTGCCTGAGGCTCATTTCTTCAGTTACTGCTTTTATTTTCTTTTACAAAGAGAGACGCCGGGCGTTTTTGTTATTTATTTATTTATTTATTTATTTATTTATTTTTTTGGCGAGAGAAATCATGCCCTTCAGCAAGCGGGGTGGGGGGGGAGCCTCTGAATCAGGGGAACTTTCTCATAATATGACAGTGCTCTTTCCAGTCGGCCTCTCCACACCCCTTGGGTTCTGGAGTGCGGCAAATTTTCATTAGGGCCCTGGGTCCCTCGAATATTGGCCATTAACCTGGTAAAATTATCCAAGTACCAGCTCTGTACCTTGGTTTCCTTATACGTAAGGTGGAGGCAAATATTGTATCACTTCACGGAGTAGCTGTGTGATTTAAACCAAGGAATACAAAAAGCGCGAGATTCAGTATCTAGAAAATAGTTATCCCTTCGCAATTATTAGCACTTGTTTTATGGCCATTATCACCATTTTCGGAAGCAATTACAGGGATGCTGCTGTGGAGTTAGTTTTGCTCTCACCTGCCCAGGAGCTCGTCTCCTTTCACAAAACCTCGCACACACCGCGATTGGTTTGATCTTCATTTGTATATCCACAAATCTTTGCTAGAGCATGTCCTATTTAAAGCCCTTCCTCGTAAATAAATTCCTTTGGTTTCCCACAGAAACTTGCTGCCCAGTTGGTGGAGATGCTGAGATTTGTGAGCCAAGGAGTTGTGGGGAGGGAGGCCAGACCTAACCAGGCCGCTCTGCAAGGCTCGAGTCCCAATCTCAAGCCGCGCACTGGAGGTGTGTCTTCGGGTGCGCGGGCTCCAGGGTTAGCCAAGGAAGAAGAGGTGCAGGCCCCCCAGAGCTGTTTCTTGGATTGCTGATGGAGCGGGTGCTGACGTTTCAAGCGTGCACACTCCAATCGCCCGGTGATCCGCGAGAGATCACCCGAGCTTTTCCGAAAGCGGATCAAGGCGGCGCTCCGGTTCTAAGGCTCACCGCTCTGTTTGGATCCAGCCCTCCTTACCTATGCTTGGCCTTGATTAAATCACTTCACTCCCTGACGCTTCGTCATTGGAATGGGTTATAATGAGGATGAAATGAAATGACATATTTGAAGAGCTTAGGCGGGGCTTGGCGCAAATTTTCCAGTACACGTGGTGGGATTGGAGGAGATGAGGTGCTGTTGTTACTAGTAGAGGCTGGCCTGCCAGGGAGGCCAGCGGAAAGCAAAGCCCAGCGGCCAGACAGGCTTCCAAGATAGTATGAACTCGGGCTCCACCGGAGCAGTGGAAGCGGGGCGAGAGCTCGGTCCCTACTCCTCACCGGTGGGACGAGACTCGACCTCAGCGGTTCTAGATGAGGCCCCACAGGAGCACCCTCATGCGGCTGGACGTGCGTACCTGGAACTCTGAGCCAACAGGCCAGGGGTCTTGAACTTTGAACCTCCGAGAGGCCAAGATGCTCCCAGCTCCCATCCTGAGTCCACTCCCAGGTCTCCCGAGTGAGGTGGGATTGAGAAAAACAAACACCAACCAACTGGAGAGACTTCTTTCGGAAAATGAAGTGATCTTCTCCGGGTCCCAGAACCCCAGGGGTGACTGCGGTACCTGCCGCCCCGAGGCTCTGTCGGCAACCTCTGCTGGTCAGGCTCAGAGTGCTGCTTTCATATAAGGAACAGATACCGCCTTGCAAAGCTCCAGGGGTGGAGGGAAGGGCCGAGCGGAGAAGAGCGCGGCTCACCTGGGGATGCTCTGTCCCTGGCTCCGGTGAGCGCCCGCAGGGCGTCGAGCCCCGGAACCCCGCAGACATCCCCACGATGCTCCCTGCGCCCAGAATTCCAAGAGGGCCTAAACTTGAACTTCCACGCCTCGCCATTCCCCGGAAAGTCTCGGGAACAGAACCACAAGCCCCGTCATTTCTCCAGGGGAAGTACGTTCGCGGTCCAGCGATCTGGGTGCGGTTGCGCGCCCAGGCGGTGCCAAGGCTCCTGGTGCGCGCCCCCTGCAGCATCGTACTCCTGGCTCTTTTAAAGCTGCCGATCCCTGGAAAATTCAGCCCAGGTTCCTCACCGCACACACCGTTAAGCAGCAGCAGCTAAAATTGAGAACCCCCCCCCCCCATTGAAAACTCCAGAGAGCTCGCCACGATGCAGGCGGAGACAGGAGAGGGACTGACGGCTTGTGAGTTTCCGCTTGTGGGTTCTGTCCCCAGCCCTTGTTGGAGACTCCTAGTGTGGGATCACATAGTGCCAAAAATAGTGTATGAGAAACAAATAAAATACTCCTTTTCTTCTGTGATATAGTTCTTCCTGTAGATTAGCTATCGGTTACTGAAAGTTCTCATCTTAGCTAAATCCATACCATCCTGTAATAATATCTGGGAGTTGGCGGCGATTTCAGGTCCTACCTATTGTTTTAACAGTGTTGATCCACTTGTACTCTTGACTCCAGAATTGGAGCCTGAACACATTTAGCAATGATTCCTGGGCTCTTGCCCTGTACGGAGCAGGACTAGAATCCTTTCTGGGAGTGCCTCACAAATTTAAGAAATCGGATCACCTCCTCCGTGAGAGTCCTCACAGCTGTGGAGGTTAAGTTTATTATTGGTTAATTGAGCAGTCATTCGGGTTCTCCAAATGTCTTTTGAAGAACAGGCTGCTTCATTTTCCCAAATTAACTTGACCCCCCTTTGTCTAGAGTTGTGCCCGGGATATGTTCTCCCTCAATTCATTTGTTCCATGCATTTAAGACTGAAATGTAAGCATTGCCCTGTCCTTTCAAATTGGTGAAATCTACTTATTCTTATATTCCTATCATCCCCACCATCAATAAATCTGATTCTGGGTGTAAGTGTCTGTGTGTGTGCATGTGTGTGTGTGTGTGTGTGTACCTATGTACATGTGATTTGTGTCTGAGGGTGAATCTCTCCATCTTTGTGTGTCTAAGTATGCCTGCATGGCCCATATGTGTTTGTGTGCATGGTGTTTAGGGTGTCTTAGGTGGGTTGTCATGGTGACAATGATGTATTTGGTGTATTTGGGGACCAGAGATGCCTCCTTATATACATTTTTTTTCCTCTTAGTGCTGGGGATCAAATCCAGTGCTCTGCCACCAAGTACACCCCCACCCCATCATATACTCTTTTTTCCACTGGACACAGCCATCTCCCAAGCATCTTTCTGATTATGATAACTGTCTGCTCTCAACTCTTTTATTGGAACAATGTATGAAGGCAGGAAAAGCTGTCTTTAGAGGGACACCAGGTTGAATCTTGGTAAAAGGTGATAGATTGCTAAAACACTACCCCAAGGAATTCTAAAATCTTTCCTAAGAAAACTTTAGTTACCAACTAAGGTATTTCA